ATAAGCAGGGCACTTATGGTTTCTGTACACTGTTGAGTACCCAAATTTATGGGTACTTTAAATTTCTGTACACTTTACAAGACTAAAGGATCAGTCTGGATTTATTTTTGTTGTCTAAATTCTATTAGGTGTAGTATGACTCTCACCCATCCTGTGACTACAGTAGCAAGTATAAATGGATTTCCTCCTATAGTTGTAGATCTAATGACTTTATAAAGATACCTACCTTTGGGGCAATGATGGAAGTTTAATTAATTACATGCATGTGCCCATCTAGAATCTACACATCTGAACTATTTATTTATATTTACCACTGTACTTTGCAACCAACAGCAGAGAGGAAGTAGTCTGCCATAATATGCAAATGCCCCAAATAGTTTTACCTGTAAGTTAGTAGAAATACGCAAAAACACCCCTAGCTGCAAAACATCAACTATACTCTATCAGATTAAAGTTTCCATTAGATTTAAATAATTATCAGAAAAATACATGGAAAAATGGTCTTGTGGCACCTTAAATACTAATGAATTTGAGCCCTTTGCTGCAACAGCTCCACAATGGAAATAAGGATGAAAGGGTGGCATGTACTTACAAACTGGCTAAAGATTATGACCTAAGGTATTCTCAAGTTGCAATTTAACACATATTTACTTAGGAATAAGCCCAACCAGACACAAGTGAACTTGCTTATGAGTAAACACATCTAGAAAGGAGCTACAGAAGTTAATTAGAAGCAGTAGAGAACACACATAGTTGCCTAGTAACTACAGAGTTTTGCCTTCTTACCCAGAATATTAAATCATCATCATCATCATCATCATCTAGTTAGTTTCAGTGAAGATATATTTGCAAAGTCAAAATTAAGACAATAAAAAGATTGAAGGGATTTTTTTTTTTAGTTCCAGGCTAAAAGCATTAGAGCTTCAATATCCAGATACAAGCATTCAGTATTGTAGCTCAGCAAAATCACTTAATGGAAACAGGAGGGAGTTTGAGAACATCACATTTACCCATAGGAGAAAAAAACCTACAGGGAAAGGCTTAAAAATGTGGTTTTATGTAGGCAACATGTATAGTGGGATGACATTTCCCCCCCCACACACAAATTCAAATATACACAGATGGGATCTCAGGTAGCTGCAACTGCAAAAAACAATAAAACTGTCCATATCATATTCCTGTTAGACACATTTATGAAACAACCACACTTAGAACACTATGTATAGTTTGTGTCACTGTATCTCTAAAAAGATAGTGTAGAATTGGAAAAAGTGAAGCAAAGGGCAACTAAAATTATCAGATGCTGAGTCAACTCCCCTATGAGGAAATGTTACATAATTTGTGTCTCTTTAGCTTAGAAAAATTGCAAGTAAGGGGAAAGAAGGTAAAAGGGTACATTAACAATAGATATGTTTGCTCTGGGCTCTCTTATACCTGTATTACTGGAACTTGGTGTCATCCAATTAATCTGGAGGGTGGGAGACTCAGGGAAGACAAAAAGATATTCTTTACATAGTATGTATCTACACTACAGAATTAACTAACACAAGATGTAATGATGGCTATTAAGGTAAATGACTTTAAAAGGGGTTTGGATAAATTTGTGGAGAGGCTGGACAACTAGCTGCTAGGGATGCTCTCCTGCACCCAGATGAAGGTTGGACTCAGTGGCCTATGAAACCCCTTCCAACTTTACAGTTCTATGACAATAGTTCAACACACTGTAGAAGTAATCCAGTTTGACACCACTTTAACTGCCCAGGCTCAGTGCCAGGGAATCCTGGAAATTGTAGTTTTATCGTGGCACCAGAGCTCTCTGACAGAGAAGGCTAAATGGCTCACAAAACGAGTTCCCAGGATTTCCCAGCACTAAGCCAGGGCAATTAAAGCAGTCTCAATATTTTTGGACCAATATTAGCAGTGTGCAGACTGCATACTTTGCCAGTGTCAGTGAACACAAACACACAAACACCTGGGCATCTAATGGTCACTCTGTGAAAAGAATGCTAGGCCTAAGAGGCCTTTGAATTGATCCATTATGGCATCATATACTATAAAATTACAGTACATATCTGAACAACTTCAGTATCTCTTTTTGTGTTAATATGCCAAATACAACACATTTCAATTCCGCCTTTAGCTTGTGAAGTGGGATGCAGATTGTTTGACTAATTTTTCCAGAGAAGTATAGGTTTGTCTTCTAAAAGTAGGAATAGGAAAATAATTTTTCTTCTTCACTTGTTTCATTTTCTCTAGACTAGAGACTCTTAGATCAAAACAGCTAATGACAGACTTTTAACATGAGAGTTATTAATACATTGTCCACATGAGTAAAACTATATGGAAAAGATGGTCAATTGGCCATCAGTAGCACTTGTTAAACGTTATAAAAGCTTTACAACCTCACAACTGATACGATCATATTGCCAAAGCTGAAACCAGTCTGCATGACCCATAGCTGTTAGGCTTAAACCAGAATAAAAAGAAAGGCAGCAGTGTGCAACAAAACAATGGAATTCCAAAGGTTTTCTATTTTGGACGGCTTGAAGCCATGTTGCTAAAAACGCAAGCACTGAGTAACAGCCAAGATATTTAAAATGCTGAGACAAATTTGTCTGTGTTGTTACATGAGTAAAGTACAACTATATTGTTTCTGAAAAATAGCCCCAAATAACAGCCCAACCAAGTGATCCTTAGAACAATTAACATTATGGACTGTCAAAACTATTCAGAACAAAGTAATGCACACAGCACATGGCAGGGAAGCAAAGACTGAATCTACGAGAACACTGCACAGTAGATTTGGAATGCAAATCAAAATGCAACCTGACATTTCCTTTGTTCTTTCCTCCCTTCAGAAAATCTACTTTAAATGCTTCCCATGTGCTGCTTTCTGTAAGCTCATAATCTGAACGGATCACAGGAAAATCAGGAAAAAAGGATCCATTACAAATTGTTAAGACTGGGGGACTGAGGTCTCAAAAATGTTACAGGGAAATAATTAGAGGGAGACTCATAATTGTCTCTCCTGTTCTGCTGCTGCCAATTGTTTGTTCATATCTTTACATAAAAGTAATTTGCTCTTGAGCAAATATATCATGTACCATACATTGCAAGAACTTGTACCCTGAAGATCAAAGTAAGTCACCTCAAACTATGCTGCTAGCTCCTATCAAAACATTAAACTATCATCAGAATAATCACTTTGACTAATTTAAATTCCTTTTTAAACAATTTAGGAAAAAGTATACTTCCTATTTTTAAACAGTATTAAGCACTGAAATATCATTGCCTCTTTTAAGAGAGCAGTGGCCATTTATTCCAAAAAAATATCTATACTGAAAGTGGTCTATTTTCTATTAGTGCCCCTTATTTTCCTTCTTAAAATGGGACAGTGATGGTATTAACCCGAATCATTTTGCAAGAAAACTATATAATGTCTATTCAAGCATAATATATTTCTCATACTACCATCCTGCTGCTTATATAAAGGGAGACAGCAAAAATGCTCTGAATCAGTAACTGGAGAAAACAGTATCAGAGTATGTTCCAATGTCTTATGTGTGAAGGAAGCTAAACTTATATTTTTGCTATCAATAATACTGTAATGGGCAGACATTTTCTTTGCATTTGTGTATGAATGCACAACCATCAAGTTCCAAACATTATAATTTATTCTCCATTTTGAACAGTAAAGATTTGGGAACCTCTTACCTACTGCTGACACATAATTTGAAGCTTTAACTTTTATGAGTCATAACATGATTGCCTATTACTCATTTTCAGAACAAAATTAACGCTTCTTGGTTGCCTTTGGATTTGCTCATCTGTAGGAAGGCCATTTTCTGTAAGTGATGTGGGTTGCTATGACTTCAGTTTTCCCCATAAATATTAGTCAGCTACATTAAATGAATAACTTAAATCCAGGATGCAATTCTATATTTACTGTCCTAGGACACCACACTGAATTCAGAATGAAGTATGAGTAGTGATGGATAGAATTATGGTTTCAGTAGCTTACTAGCCATTACAGAATTTATTGAGGCATGTTATGCAGTCTGAACCTACTACCACCTGCCAAGTATAAATAAAGTTGCAGACACATTCAGTAATTTAAATGTGTAAGCAAAAGTGTTATTTTTGTTGCTTCCATGTCTTTTATTAAGACAACCTGATTGTTTAAGACCTGTTTGCCAGCACTACACCAGTAAATAGGTCTCCAGTTTAGTACCTGAAATTAGTTTGTCCCTAATCTCTGCCAGTAAATAAGTCACTAGTCAGATCAGAACTGCTGCTTGATTCTGGCCAATATTTGGAAATACCCATCACAGAGGCATATATATATGAGCTCCATATAGATGAATTCATGACATAGTTCCTTAAGTCCATATACAAAAGGAATTTATGAATAATAAAAGCCACACAATATAAAGCCAAAATGGTTTCCAGAGGAAGTTATATTTCTATTTATCCATAAATGTTTACTCAGCCTTTTGCATCAACCAAAGATCCCTAAAACACACAAATGGACCTAGCAGAGTAGAAAAATATGGCTACCAGGATAATTTTACCCAGGGGCGCTTCCCAAGATTTTAAAATCATGCAACCACATTGCCTTGTTCATATAATTTTATGACAAACAATAAGGTCTTCCCTTTGAAAATCTTAATTATTTCCCCATAGCCTTTTCCATCTTTCTTCTTAGGCATAAAATATTGGTTAAGGACAGAAAAACAGATGAGCTGTATAATGGCTTTTGATTGGTTGCAAAAAGCATGAGTGTATTTTAATCGTTTTATAGTATTTTAACTGTGGATTTATATGTTTTTGTGTTTTGTAATTTAACGTGTTGCACTCCGCCTGAGTCTTGAGAAGAGGTGAGAAAGAAACAAATTATTATTATTATTATTATTGTTATATCTTCATGCCCTAGCAATTCTGAAATACACCATTGTTTTATTGTCCCAAAACAATTGTTTTATTTAATACATGTTATTGAGAGCCAATGTGGTGCAGTGGTTTGAGCGCTGGATTACGACTCTGGGGACCAGGGCTCAAATCCGTGCTTGGTTGCCACCTTGGGCAAGTCACACTCTCTCAGCCTCAGGGCAAGGCTAGGGCAAACCTCCTCTGAACAATTCTTGCCAAGAAAACCCCATGATAGGGTTGCTATAGGTTGGAAACAACATATTTATTTACCTAAGGGATTTATATATATTTACCACAATGGAATTCAAGGAGGCTTAACACTAATTTAAAATACTGATTACAAAAGTTAAAAAAAATAATGAAATATAACTAATATTAACACATGTTAAAAATAGCAAAGTTACAACCTATAAAAATCCCCATTAAAACAGCACAACACATTTCTACCACTTGATACAATATACAAGGTGATTTGCATGAAATGTCTAAAAGACAACACAAATGATGTTTAAAAAAAGGTTTTCAGACAGCTGAATTAAAATAATTAAGCTATTAACAGGCAGGGATGGAAATAGCAAAAAGGGCGACAGTTTTGAAGGCTCCCTGCCCTTGGGGTCTTTTTCCAAACAGGTGCCCAGACACGTCCTCCTTTTCCAGGACATTTTGACCTCCTGTCCAGGAGGGATTCCAAAACGTCCTCCATTTTGAGCATGACTATGAAGCATGAATTTTTTAAAATTTCTGTTTTTAGCTTTTATTGGGTCATGCCCCCACGTTTTTCTTGAATGCCCTCAATTTTAATGCCTTCCATTATATTGTCTTAACTAGGACTGTTTTAAAATTTGTTAGCCGCTTTGAATCCCTATACAGAGAGGAAGTCGGAATAATAATAATAATAATAATTAATACTAATAATTTTAAGGTGCCTCGTCTTCCTTTGTGCAAGGAGGATGATGATGATGATTAATAATAATAATACTTTAAAGGTGCCTCATCCTCCTTTGTGGTCACTCTGCCTTGCAGCTAGAAAACCACTCACAGAGAGATAAAAGGTGGGATATAAATAATAATAATAATAATAATAATAATAATAATAATAATAATAATAATAATAATAATAATACTTTTAAGGTGCCTTTGTGGTCCCTCTGCCTTGCAGCTAGAAAACCAGGCTCACAGGGAGATAAAACTTTCCCTGAGGGGCTACTTGTCTCCTCAGAGAAAGTGACTAGGAGGAGAAAAACCTTAAAAAATGGTAAAAGAATACATGATAAATGTTAGATCTGGTCTTAGACGATAAACAATTTGCGTTATCATATAAAAATAACGACTGTTGTAATTTGTAATTTATATAACCACGTAACGTAACATAGCAACGCTTGTTATCAGAGAGGACAACCATACTAGGGATTGTTTTATTAAAATTTATTTGGGAAGAAGAAAAGAAAAATGGCACCCCCGGCCCGGGCTTCACTCGGAGGGACATGAGGCACCAAAGCCCCCCGCAAATAACCCCCTCGAAGGCGGCCTTTGAGAAAACGTCGCCCCGCAAAACGCAGGCCGCAACCGTCGCCTCAAAAACCGCCGCCGTTTCAATGAATTGGGCGCGAATCCTCCTCCAGCGGCGGCGAAGGCCAGCCCCGTTCCCATCATGCACCGCGGCCCTGTGTGGTGTGCGGGGGGGGGGAGGTGAAGGAAGGAGTCGCTCCGCTTTCCCGCGAATTCAGTTCAAAGGCGAGGGGAGGGGGAGGGGCCGCGGGGAGGCTCCCAGAGGTGAAGCGCGCGGCCCAACCAAACTCGCGCAGGGCCATTCTGACGTCACGCCCGGGCGGGGCCTCTCTCGGCCAATGAGGCGCCGCGGCGCCACCGCCGGAGCCAATGGGCGCTGGGTGGAGGGGGCGGGAGCCGCGGCCCTGGCGCCGTCCGGTTTGGCTGGGCCGAGAGGGCGCTTGAGGAGAACCGAGAGGAGGAGGAGAAGCGAAGACACTGCCGCCGCCGCCGCCGCCTCCACTTCCTCCTCGCCTCGGGTGGCTGCTCCCCGTCCC